CTGCCTTAATGGATGATGCTAACAATATGGACCTAGGCATGTGTGAGCGATGTGAGTGCAATAACAGTAGATTGGCTGAATCTAACACAGTGTTTTGTTGGATCTTGTTTTATATATTTATCCTGATGATGTCTGAGAAAAATACCTTATGAAATGCTTAATAGTTAATAATTTAATTAATTACAATTGATATTAAATCACAGTATTTACTACTAGTAAACAGCCTTTCAGAAATCAGAATATTCCTTCAAACAATTTCTAAAACATGTAGTTGTTTAAGAGATATTTGCTGAATTGATTTTTTAACAAACAGAAAAAAGAGTATACAGTAAATGAATTAAAGTATATAAAATGAAATTGTGGTGATGGTTGCACATATCTGTAAATATACCAAAATCCATTTAATGGCACACTTTAAATGGGTGAGTTGTGTGGTGTGTGAATTATAGATCAACAAAGCTTTTTTAAAAATTAAGCAAGCTGTTTTTTAAGGGATAGATACTTGTTTCCAGACCTGGGCTAGATTTTTAAAGGGCGCTCTCGCCCCCTGCTGAGGATGAGCCTGGGAAAGGCCTGAGCTCACCCCCCCCCCCCCCCCCCCCCCGCACCCCGTTCTGAATCTGGGGCTGGGGTAGTAGGACCAGGATTCAAACAGGAGCTCCACCACCACCTACTTCCTCGAGTTTTCTAGGTTTAGCTTCTCACCACTCCGGTCCTATTTCCATCCCAAGCTTTAACTCCCATCACGTCCATAGAAACAGCTGAAACCACTCTTTGGGGAGAACGGGTCCAGGAGGCCTCTCGCCCCAACCAAACTTGTACCCTCACTCACCCACCCCTCAGCAGTGCAAGCAAGCCCCTGTGCCTCAGGGCAGTGTTTGGTGCTGGCTTCAAACCCCAGCTGGCCACTGCCGGGGGGGGGGGGGGTATTTCCTGCCCCACCGCGCACCCCAGGACCCTGAGCCTGGGGTTTGTGGCCGGCATGGAAGGGCACCAGCCCCTCGGAGAGCACTAGAAAACATCTGCTGCCGGTTTACCGGCGAACCCACCCGTCCTGACTCACCCCGGGGAGAAGGGGCACAGACTGGGGAGAGAGGGACGCCCAGGCACACTCCCCAAACTCCGCCAACCCGCCTGGGGCGGGGGTCGGGACGGCCCGCGGTCTCAGGGCCCGCAGATGGGAGCGAGGGGGATGACCAGTTATTACTATTGAAAAGGAAGGGGGTGGGCT